AGAAACCCAAGGAGGGGTTGCTGTGAGTCGGGTCCGACTTGATGTCATATAACAACAACAATATAACTTTCCAGGGAAAGGAAAATACAATCTCTTATTTTGTTTCACGGCTAATGAAAGTCACTCTAAGATGGACAGGTTTGGCAATCTGATTTAGGAAAGAATGTGATGAAATGAAGATTTTATGGGAGCAAGGAAAAGAAATTAACTTTAGTGCTCATCTCATTGGTCTGCCAAATTGGAAGGACACTTTAGGTCTGATAATCATGTTCTAATTAATCTCTAGAGGACATTCATGGACAATCAAGTGGTCATTAATATGCCTTCTTCCTGTAACCTTGATTTGTTCATTCCCCTTTCAGAGTCTCGAATACAGAAAACAAAAATTGATGTGTGGTGTTAATGTGCTTACAGATGTTGCCACCACTTATCCAGATAAGAAGTCCATCTTAATGTATGTCACATCACTCTTCCAAGTTTTGCCTCAGCAAGTGAGCCTTGAAGCCATCCAGGAAGTGGAAAGATTGCCAAGGCCATCAAAAGTTACTCAAGAGGAACATTTTCAATTGCATCATCAAATGCACTATTCTCAACAGGTAACGTCTGAAGGAAGACTAATATCAAAGGTGTTTTCTATTTTATTTGCATTTTTAGGTTATGAACACACATATATGTGTGTGTGTGTGTATGTGTGTGTATAAGCATACATACACAGGGCATATGTATATATATGTGTGTGTGGAGAGTGAGAGGCAGAGAGAGAGGGGAGAGTCAGTCTATATTAACTATTCAAATTGTGTCCAATAATATGGATTATAATGTTTTCAAAGCAGAATGTTAAAATAATATTCTGTTGACATGCACCATAGTATATAGATATAGTACATAAAATCTATTGCATTTCCATTGTGTAAAATGAGTTAAACAAAAGACAGACCTATGAATTTATTAAATTCTCTATCAGATAAAAAGCAAAGAGCTAGAGCAAAAGCAAGGTCATGAACTCGGTTTAATAATTTTCTCAATGTGGTGACAACTGGCTGATATATTGACACATTTTGAGTATTCAGGGCAATGTATTTGAGAAGAGAAAAGGGGTTTAAAATATTTCAAAGAAAAGTTAAATGAAGAATACATATAATAAAATTCTTTATTGCATCATTGTACACAATGCATTGGAATTCTGCTCTCACAGTGGTTTGTTTTCCTTCTCTCTCAAAAGTGGATATTTTGGGGGGGTGTTCTTGTACTTTCCTAGACACAAACAATGAAAAAGCCTTTAGCACAATTTCTGCTGGAGGCGTTGAAAGCTCTTAGACCTATTTTTCTCACTCTACTGAGCTAGTTCTATGTTTAGCTTATGAAAGCATCAGTCTTTTCCAGGGTATTGACCTAATGGGTTCTGGCTTTGTTTACTTTGGATTCAGAGAAAATTGCTTTTCGATGCCTGTTTTGCCAGATTGAAGAGCACCATCCCATATTAGTGCCAGAGTCTGGATGGGATACTTATGGTTAAATCCCACGCTCACACCTTCCCTGATTCCCAACATGAATTTGGTCACCACAATTCTTGGAGTGTACTGGTTTCTAATATCATTGCTATGCATTTAGGATTAAACCGACATCTTGCCTTTTCTATTGAATACCCATTTTTCTAGTGTGTTGGAAAGTACTGCTTCCAAGGTCATTTAAAATGTCTCCTTTCTCTCTCCCCAAATCCTCTGCAGATCACTGTCAGTCTAGCGCAGGGCTATGAGCGAACTTCTTCCTCTCCTAAACCTCGGTTCAAGAGTTATGCGTACACACAGGCTGCTTATGTCACCACTTCTGACCCTACACGGAAAACACTTTCTCCACAGGTCTGTCAACTTTTACTCTGTTCCACAAACCAAAGAATTTCTGCATAAGATATCACCTTATGTTACTTTTGCTCATTTGATTTTTTTAGTGTCCCTTTTTCTCCATCAGGAGATGTTTTGTTTTCCCCAGTTTTATTAGATTCTCTCACATGATATTGTTATGTTATTGACACTCCCATAGCTTTAACAGATGTTGATTCTTTTTAAATGGGGATTCTCATAGTAATGGATTTGTATTCTCCTTACGTAATTACCAAGGAGCTCTGTGGTGTAGTGATTAAAGCATTTGGTTGCTACCCAAAAGGTCGGTGGTTCAAACTTACCAGCTACTTTACAGAAGAAAGATGAGACATTCTGCTTCTGAAAGATTCACAGCCTTAGAAAATGAATGGGGGTCACTATGAAGCTCTGGTAGCATAGTGCCTAAGACATTTGACTGCTAACCAGAAGGCTGGTGGTTCAAGCCCACCAGCCACTCCTTGGAAGGTAGATGGGGCAATCTACTTCTGTAGTGATACTGCCTTGGAAACCCAAGGAGGGCTCACTATGAGTCGGGTCTGACTCAATGGCACATAACAACAACAACAACATGAATTGGAATTGACTCAATGGCAGTGAGTTTGATTTTGGTTTGGGTATATATTTACCTATAAAGTTTTCTTTTATGAAGGCTACTAATGGTAATAATAATAATAAGCAAAACTTGAAGCTTATTGTTGTTATAGTTGCCTTCAATCAATTCTAACTCATCACGACCCCATCTGTGCAGAGTAACTGCTCCATAGGACCTTCGAGGCTGTGTCCTGAGGTGCCTCTGGATGAACTGCAAATCTTTCAGATAGTAGTCCAGTGCTTAACAATTTGCACCACCTAGGGATTCCTGAAGCTTATTGAAGGCTTTTATATGTAACTGGAATAAAGGTGTCGGGAAATAGGTGAAAATTTCTAATTGCATTCTGTGGAGATTCTTCCTATAGAGGCCTTTGTTATATAAAAGGTTTTTATTTTCTCTTTATGTAAGGAAATATAACTGAAAGCTTCTTCACATGATTTCTTGAAATTTCACTAATTGAAATTTGTGTAAAACAGACTATAATATTTATAGGAAAAATTGCCACCAAACTCAGGTTAGATTTTATATACCATTTAATGCTTTCTATATTAAGAATCTCCTCAGTGAAATTTTACACTCTTGCCATATTGCAGGAAACCTAACAATACAAGAAATCCTAGCCTTGTGTATGTTAGACCATGGAAGTAAAATATGCTAGAATTGCTAGCTTTGCTAGAATTTATTTTAAAAGAAGGTTATATTTATTTGGTTCAGTGGAGCAGTTTGGAGATCTGTTGAGAGAAATGAGTTTTATCAAAACTGTACTACAAGTGAGAATTTAGTAGTTATAGACCTGATGCTCTTGCTGAAAAGTATATATACTTTTGGAGATATGTTGCTTTTGGTTTTAACAATATCGGTGTGTATTTAGTTAGGGATTTGTTTGGCATAGGTGCTTGAAGCATGAGGCTGAATGTTGTTAATTCTGGAAGAATGCCACAAAGCAGCTCTAGCCTTTGCCAGTTTTGTGAGCCAAGGAGACTGTGTGAGAGTTTCTGGAACTTAGCCTCATCTTCAGTTAGGTTCCCATCCAGGTTTTCACAGGTTTGTATAATCGCGGACAAGACAGTTAACCTTGCTATACCACAGTTTCCTAAATATCAATGGAAGTGCAACGCACTGCTGTGGAGTTGGATCTGACTCATAGTGACCCCTCCTTGGGTTTCTGAGACAGTATCACTATGGAAGTAGATTGCCCAATTTTCCTTCCGAGCAGTGGCTGGTGAGTTTGAACCTCCAGCCTTCTGGTTAGCAGTCAAATGCCTTAGGCGCTACACCACCATTTCAACACTAATTTTGGTTTACTCTGCCAGATGTGCCTCTTCTATATACATTATGTTTACTAATATTATTCTCTTAACAATCCCTAGACGTGGTAGTTGCTATTTACATCCCAGTTTTATTAAGGCAAAGAACAATTTAATTGTATCCATCTTTCTCTCTCCCTCCCTCCCAGCCACTCCCTCTCCCTCTCTGTCATCTCTCCTCTCCCTCTCACCCTTTGTCTCTCTCTCCCCATTCACTCTCTTAAACTTTCTATTTTCATCCTCCCATTGAAGCCACCAACACTTAAAGAACAGGTGGACACATCCTAAAATGTAGGAACATAAGGCAAGGCAATAAGTATTTTTTCCCTCATTATCATTTTATTGAACTATCTTTTCCAGAAGGTTTTCTCCAATGCCTATTCTAGTAGCACATTTTTACCTCATTACCACCTCATTAAGACATTGCTCAGATATGACTTCTTAATGAAGTAATTACAAATGGACTTAAATTTTCCTAGACCACATTTGTTCACTCTACCTTTGTCTAAATATTACAAGACCCCTAATAGCTCATAAAACAGTCAACAAATTCACTTATCTATTTTCCTGATAACGCTAGTGTTTTCCCTTTAAAAAGAAGCAACATTAAGCAGAAAGGATGGGGAATGATATATTCTGATTACTTCCAAAGATAGCACATCAGAAGATGATGTTCCTTGTAGTTAGGTTTGGTGTGTTTATGTCTTAGCTGTTAAAACTGAGAAACTTCTGGTTGAAAGTTTCTCAAGGATGCTGAGACTACACTGTTCCCTACCGGTTGGATCTCTACCATTTGTAATGAACTCAAAAGAGATAATATTGGTGTTTACACTGGTGTTTACTAAGTCATCTGAAGAGAAGGATGAATTTTTCTAGAAGGGCAGAGAACCACAGTGGGACTGGCCCTTATGAAAAACATAAAAGTCATCAATAATCTTTGCAGGTCCCAATCTATTGGAAGCACCCATTTTTCTCAGCTCTCCCAAACTTAGAAAATTTTATTTAAACTCATTGCAGATTGTCAACCTGTTGAGGTGAAGCAGTCTGAACTGACTCAAGATCTTGAGTAGATGACTTTTCCCAGGAGGAATACCATCTGGTGTGAGCCCCTGACTTCCCCTAATTATATCACTTAACTGTCATCAATCCTTGGATGGAGGACATCCTTTTTGTAATTATAGCTAATTCCTGTTTTATGACATTGGTCATGACTCTTTCTCCTTATCATGTAACAAAAAATTCCCATCTCTAGTTTATCAACAATTTTCTCCTTCTCCTGGTGCTCAATCTTGTTCATAACTCCTGCCAGTATACACACCATGTGTATGCCCTCTTTTCTCAAACACACCACTCTCCTTTTTCTTCCCAATGTCCTATTATGTGTTTCTGTATTTATTCATTTAATTATTCAAGAAATATTTATTCTTAGTTACCTAACCAAATGGCTCTTTTTCGGTGCTCATGGTTTTCTGCCATTCACCACTGAGTTGCCTACAACACATGACCACCTCTGTGTATCAGAGTTGAACTGTATTCCATGGAGTTTTCAGTGGCTAATTTTTTGGAAGTAAATTATTAGGCTTTTCTTCTGAGGTGCCTTAGGGTGAATTGAGGTTGGATCCTTTTGGTTATCAGCCTAGTGGGTCAGCTGTTTGTACCTCCCAGGGACCATGGCCTTTTACCATCACTGACACTCCTATTTTCATTGCCTCTCAACTCAGAATCTTCCCCTCTCTTTCTGATTGTTAGGCACTTCTTTCATTATCTGGATCATTCTTTTTCAACCTCCTTATCATAGCAAACTCATGGGAGGTCCCTTGGCTGACCTTCTTATCCGTAAATCATGATTTGATGTTATGGCTTCAAGCTGTATGCCTATGTCTTCTGTCCCTTTGTTTTCACCACTTACAGTCTCTCCTGAAATAGCTCATTTTTTACTCTGTTTTGTTTCTATAAAGGAGCTCCAGTAGCATAGTGGGTTAGGCATTTGGGTGCTAACCAGAAGGTTGGTGGTTCAAAACCACCAGCTGCTCTGTGGGAGTAAGATGAGGCAGGCTACTTCCATGAAGATTTATAGCCTTGGAACCCCACCCAATGGTGGTCTCTATGAGTCAGAATTGACTCAATAGTAGTGGATTTGGATTTTTTTTTTGTTGTTGTTTTTGTAGCCATACCTTGATGTCCCATTGATGCCTCAAACCTAATATGTCCTCTTCTGAACTTAGTGTCATCAAACAAAAAAAGACTTTTTAAAAAATTTTGATTAGGTAAATGAGAACATGACCCAGGAGTCATTGAGGCTTACATATGTGAAATATTATTTCTTCTCCATAATATTTCTCCATTAGGTTCTCTTTCCTCAATTTTCACAGATGCTACTCTGAGTCAGGCTCTGAATACATATCTTTAAAGCTATAAAAATAGCTTTGCAATCAATATGACTATCTTCAGCCTAATCCTTGTTCATTCAGATTAAATTTCCTTATTTGAAGCTCTGATAACATCACTAACAAAACATCCTTCACTTTATTTTGCCTGAATCACAAGTCCATTCTCTAAAATATCATACACATTGTATGATTTATTAATAACATGTATTTTTAAGCTTATTTCACACCAAAATATTTCATGTTTTCTTTATTCCAATCAAAGAAAGTCACTTTCTCTCTTCTATAAGTGCCAAGACATTATTTATTTTAGCTTTTAGAATTTGTTCAGCCTTAAGTGATTTTGTGTCCATTTGAAATTGGTGAATGTCACCCATATTTCAAAACCTGATCGATATGTGAAGGAGCCATGGTGGCACAGTGCCTCAGGTATTTGACTGCTAACCAGAAGGTTGGCAGTTCAAACCTATCAGCAGCTCCACAGAAGGAAGATGGAGCAATCTACATCTGTAAATATTTACAGCCTTGGAAACCCAATGGGGGTTACTATGAGTTGGAATCGACTCGATGGCAGTGGATTTCATTTTGGTTTTGAAAGATAAATGGCACAGCCTGGTTCAAATTCAGATCTATCTTTATCTACCTCCAAGCCCATACTCAAAAGCAAACTCACTGCCATTGAGTCATTTCTGA